ACTGATGGACACCAAATAGTGCATGTGAACAGAGGAATGGGTGATGTGTTTCAACAGCGACAACTGCAACATGAAGGACAAGCCAGGTTCTGGATGGCCATGCACAGCCATCTGTCTTAGTTCCAGCTTGGATGGCATTGGACTCACTGTGACTGTGGAGCAAGTTCTTTTGTTCGTTGCAGGGTTTGGAGTAACCACGGTGCTTGTCTCTGTGGAGTGACCACAGGGCTGTCCCTCTGGATGTGGTGCTCTCGGGGGGCAATTTTTTTTGTCACAATACTTGGAACAGCCACAGGACCTGTAGCAGGAGCAATCACAGGGCTCATCACAAAGGCTGGAGTGACTAGTTCTCAAGTGATACAGAGATAAGGAGTAGTGAAAGTAGTAGTGAAAGGGAGGCTGAGGAACTGCTAGGACGTGTCCTCCCCTATTTCTTCAGTAACTGGGCTCCCCAAGCAGATGTGTGTCTGCACGCATGTGAAATTTTTCAGTGTATCCCTTTTCCAAATGTGCTTTGCTAACTTTTGGTCTAGAATGGAAGAGATTGTGCCATTACTTTTGGCTTCTGTTTGATAGTTTCTCTGTGGTATCCAGACAGCAAAAACATTACCCCATGAATATCTTTTCCTTTGATGACTTGTGATGCTGCCTAGATTGTAGCCATATGGATTGACTGCCTTGGTAGTTTGAGCCCCGTATCAGATAAGGTATTTTGAAATGTGACCATGCTTCTTAGAGTTTTGATTCTTCTAGTATATGTATAATGGTCTATGTCCAGGATTCAAGATTTCCTTTCCTTCTGAAGGGACTGTGGTATCTTCTATAAAGCTGGAGCGGGACTGTCCTTTTCTGATCTCACAGTCTAATTCACAAGCAAGTGATGAGAAGTATTATTTCTGAAGTTGGTCTTACCCAGGGTTCATCTCTTAAATCTCACTAGATTATACTTTTTTTTTTTTTTTTTTTTTTTTTTTTTTTAAGAAAGCATTCACACATGCCATGATAATGTACAGAGCAAAGGAAACCTGGACCATCAGTAGAAGCTCATTCTTGCATTTGTTCAGTGCTTCATGACAATAACCAGAAAGTGAGTCACCATTGTGGATTTTGCATTTTTGAGTGCACTAAAATTTTTCTTAATCATCCTGGCTACCTCAGGCTTAGAGCAACTATTCTACAGTCAGACCTTGCATAGTTGTATAGTTTTTCCCCTAAATCTGAGTCACAGTCATTGTTCTGCAGAGTTAATCTAATGCGTGCTATGTATTTTCTGCAACAGAAGCAAATGCACCAGAAGTCCTAAGGGTAGATGGACTCTTCAGTTAATTACCCTACTGACTAAGGGCTTGGACCTAAGTAGCTGCTACCAAGTATCTTTTTTCTTTGAACGAAGTAAAATATCAATAAAAAGAACCTGGTGTTGTGCAAGATGCTAAAACTACTGCCCTAGATTACATTGCTACTGCTGGGATTGGTGGCTGAGATTAAGAACCCACTCTTAATTCACCCATCCATGTGACAACTTGTAGGAGAAGCCTTTTCCACTACACGTGAAATTATATAAATATCAGCCCATTATAAACATTTCCAACAGGCTGATGTAACTACCCCTATTAACTGGAAAAACTTCTTATTGTGGGGTTGCGTATGAAAATAAAACACCATAGTGAATCCTTCAGGCACAAATAGGGCTGCTGCTGAAGTGACATCTGCTTAGTCTGATAGCTGGCAAAGGTTGTCCGGTTTTTAAGAAAGGCAAGAATGAAAGCAGTGGGATCTTTAGAACAGGCAAGGCCCACTTTGGTGCCAGGCAAAATTATGGCCAGCCGTATCCTGGGGTGCATCAGGACCAGTGCCGGCAGCTGGGCAAGGGGAGGGGTTTTCCTGCTCTCTTGTGCACTGCACGGCCTCCCTTTGAACACTGGGGGTAGCTTTGGGTGCCACAATACAAGGGCAGAAAACTATCCAAAAGAGCCCAAAGGAGGGCTGCGGAAATGGGACAGGGTCTGGAGGCCAAGGTGAGAGAGGAGCGGATGTGGTCCGTGGTTTGTTCAGCCCAGAGCAGAGGAGCTGAGGGGAGACCTCATGGCGGCTGCAGCTTCTCGCATGGAGCCGAGGGGCAGCGCTGAGCTCTGCTCTGTGTGACAGCGACTGGGCCCGAGGGAACGGCATGGAGCTGTGTCAGGGGAGGGCAGCTGGGAGTAAAGTATCTTTACTGCCAAGATTTTAAGGCTTAGAGTATGTATTTTAATTAAACACTTTTATTAATTCTTTCTGGCTGTGGAATCTTAGTTCGAACTGTGTGCCACGTGCTTGGCAAAAGAGGAGAGGGCAGGCCCGTCAGAGAATGCAAGTCCTTTTCTTGTTTCTCAAAGCCAAGATTTACTTGGTATATTATGTATTACTTGATACAGGACATATTTTGGTTGTATCTCAAAATCTAATTTAGAAGCAATGGTTCAGAAATGAATACTGTGGTAACTAGTCTCCCATTGTGCAATTTTGACCAGATCTGAATTTGTTCTCATATTGGCAGGAATTCTGATCTAATTTGTCCTTCCTGAATGTATGTTAGACTCACACAGGTCATAAGGCCTAGAAATACGAGAATCTCTTAAGAGGTAGCAGACAGCCAGTGACTACTACCTGTCCAACAATCATTTTTTAAAGTATGTTTCATGGGTTTTAAAATAAGACCTTGAGACTATTGCTCGTGTTGCGATAGATAGATAGAGAAAAAGAAAATCTCAAAAGTTACAGTCTGTAAAGACCTTGACTTTTGTAGAGAGCTTATTGTTCTGGGTAATTCCCAAATACACACTGCAGTAATCAGAAATCTACCTTTTCAGGCCGTACCTGTCTCCATTTAGAATTCCATTTCCACTTGAATTCCAGCTGCCAAGTTTGCAGTCTAATGAAACCATAGAGTACTTACTTCTTTATTGCTACCTCCTCCGTGATGGATCAGTTTGCTCCTGCAGAAGAAAGGGTAAATTCTCCACCCATGTCCGTGCTTTGTTTCTGTGAAAGCTATTGAAGATGGGGATGTTATACCCTCACTTTCATCTAGGAACAAGTGATGTTTCTGAAACTCAAAAAATAAAGCCAGCAGGCTTTGTACATATTTACAATTTGACATGGGCCTTAAAATTCATCTGATGGCTGGGGATGTTTCTAAAAATGAAGACCTTACCTCTTAATAATACATTACCTTTTTACAGAATAAGATGATGAAGTATTTTTTTCACTATGTTTCTAAAAGATAACTTAATTTTTTTTTTTTTCTTAAAAATTTTAAACTGAACTCAATTCCTAATTTTTTTCAGTCTGAAAGGCCAAGGGCCAACCTTCCTTGTAATGTTGAGCGAAGTAGACATTATGAAAATTGTGCAGCTTAAGTAGTCAAAGTGCATCATTAGAAGTCTAACTTTGAAGTAGAACATATTGATATTGTCTGTATTAAAGCAGAAAACTTTGTGGCTTGGAAGTATCATCGGGCTAAAGATATTTGAATTCATGTTTGAATAATAATGTGCAAGGTTCTTATCTTGCTATTGTACTCGGAATTGCATATTATGCATAATTTGAACATGGGCTTTGACATATTACATGTGTACACCTGAATATAATTAACATAACATTCTTAAATGCCAGACTGTGCATTTAACTGTACTAACTGCAAGGATGAGGAAGTTGGTAAGAGCAAAAATGCTGCATAAACTTTTCAACTTTGAACTGCTGTCTCAATTTTAACCTTATGTTTCTTTTTAGCAGGCAAATTATTTTAACTGAATGTGTATTTATAGATAATCTGTTCCTAATATGCTAAACTATGAACACAAATAGTGTGTATTTTCATGTTTCATTCTACTAAAACATCATAGTTGGGTGTTTTTAGTAATATTTAATAACAAGCTTTTGGATTATTGACTATATGAGGTAATATCTAGAATGCCGTAAGAGAACAGTGTATCCAGAAGGCCACACTAAAAATTTATAGTGGGGTGCAATATTTTGGGGTATGAAACTACAACTAGTTCTGTTTTTGTAAGAAAGAAATCAATGCTTAATGCTATATTGATATTGTGAGTGCTTATTGAAAGCTGACTCAATTTTATTCAAACTGAATTGGAGTTGTTGGCAATCCCTTAGAGTAGCAGATTATGTAATGTTAGATGTTCAATAATTCTTTTATGTTTAGTACATGGATGGCTTTTTGTAGATGCATGGTTTCAATGGCCTTATGGCATGGGTTCCCACCAGCATTTGAGAACAATTCAGTGATATTGATGCACACAACTTAAAGAAATAAAAATGATAATTCCTATTTCATGTTCAGTTTAGAAGAGAATTTATAGGGGTAAATAAATGATATGATGCCTGTGATAGGTCTTTATTTTTTATTTAAGAAGAAATGAGTGTAATACAGCGTCTATGGAGCCAGAAATATCTCTTACCTGTACATTTAACTGTGTCTACAATAATTGTGTAAATCAGAAGAGCTTAAACAGAATCACAGAATGGCCTGGGTTGGAAGGGACCTCAAGGATCATGAATCTCCAACCCCCCTGCCACATGCAGGGCCTCCAACCTCCACATTTAATGCTAAACCAGGCTGCCCAGGGCCCCATCCAACCTGGCCTTGAACACCTCCAGGCCACTATCTACATCTGAGTCTATGTATAGATGTACTGACCAACTATGGCCACTATTTCTATCTTCTATTGAAGCCACATTGAACAGAGCCTTTTTTTTTTAATTCATAGAAATTTATTATAGAATTTCTGAAAACTTTTCTACTCTGTAGAAAACTCTGTAGCTACTTCTGTAGCTGGTATTTGCTTCTAACTACTGTTATTACTCTAATCTCGACACAAACAATTATTTTTAATCCAGCCATGATTTCATATACTCACATTTATGTGTGTTGAGATTAGCTCTGTAGATAGCAAAATTTATGTTTTCCTTGGTTTTCAAACAGTCTGTTTTCTTTTCAGTGGGATGCCATTACTGAAATGGATGAACACAATCATCCCATTCATACGTACCAGGTGTGCAATGTGATGGAACCAAACCAAAACAACTGGCTTCGAACAAACTGGATTTCCCGTGATGCTGCACAGAAAATCTATGTGGAAATGAAGTTTACCCTGAGGGACTGCAACAGCATTCCGTGGGTAGTGGGAACCTGCAAGGAAACTTTTAATCTCTACTACATGGAATCAGATGAGTCTCATGGATTAAAATTCAAGCCAAACCAGTACACTAAAATTGATACTATTGCGGCTGATGAGAGCTTTACTCAGATGGACTTGGGTGATCGCATTCTTAAACTCAACACAGAAGTTCGTGAGGTTGGGCCAATAAACAAGAAAGGCTTTTATCTTGCATTTCAGGACATTGGAGCATGTATTGCTTTGGTCTCAGTCCGTGTTTATTACAAGAAGTGCCCTTTCACAGTCCGTAACTTGGCCATGTTTCCTGATACTATTCCAAGGGTTGATTCTTCCTCTTTGGTGGAAGTGCGGGGCTCCTGTGTGAAGAGTGCTGAGGAACGTGATACTCCAAAATTGTATTGTGGAGCAGATGGGGATTGGCTTGTGCCTCTTGGACGATGTATCTGCAGCGTAGGATATGAAGAAGTGGATGGTTCCTGTCACGGTAAGAAAACTAAAAGTAGATTTATGATCTATGAATGCTAAATAGCCCATATCATATTGAAAATATTTCATTGTGTTCCCCAGGAATATCTTTAAATGACCTTGATAATTCTGAATAAAAGTCATGACGCTGTAGGTTTCTAAGAAAGCACTTAGTTACTAAAGATGATGTTCATTTTGTTGAAGTTTTGATGCCTATGATGGGAATATATGTAGAACAACCGATTGCCTTGACTTCTTTTGTAATGAGTGGAGATAAGTGAGCACATTGGAGCAGATTCCTCTGACCTGTTTTAGATGCATATCTCAGTATGAGGTGAGCAACGATGAAAATTATCCCTTTTTTTTTCTGTATTCCTAAAAAGGGAAATCTAGTCAGTTAACTCGGACTTAAGTATTTCCTGTCGGTGCACAAAACCAGAAGTATTGACCTGGTAATAACATGGTAACTTGTGCTTTTTTAAAAAGGGAGATTTTAATGCTTCTGTGAATAATTAGTAATAGTCCATAAATTGAGTTCAATTAGAGAAGTTTTAGTCCTTATTCAAAATTAAAGTAAAACCTACAGAATCAAAAGGTTATGCTTCATTAACTTCCTCTTTGCTGCTTTTAAAATATCGTGGTGTCAAAATCTGATAACTGGAGTTAATGCACAAATGGAAAATTCAGTTGACTTGACCACTGTGCTGTTTACATTCAGAATTTTTAAAATGATCTGCGTCTCTTGAATAGCCCAAGTCTGTGAGCTTCTGTGGAGTCAATCTGAGACTGATACCTATTGAGTGTGTGCACGTTGAGACTTAATGTCTATCTGGAGGTCTTCTAGATAATACTTCTTGGATAGTGCTTAACTGTTAAAGGCATGTGTCTTTTCACACTGTGGAGATGTGTGGTAGCTAGCTGTTCTTTAGTGCACTGCTTCTGAAGCTGACAAAACATCTTGTTTTTCTAAATGCTTGGGTTTTTTCACCTATCTCTAAGTTTCACATAGACTTTGGAGTAAGTCTAGTACTGACTTCTAGAGAGTACCTCAGTGGCCATCTGCTTTGGTTCAATTTCTGCTTTGTAGCAAAATGGAGGAAAAAAGATCCATGTCCATGAATTACACAGGTGAGGTTGCAGTTGTCCAAATACTTTGATGAAGAGATACTCATGTTAGTATTTGGCAAGTTGTGCCAAATACTTGAGTGATAAAGAGTGTTAAAATCACATTATACATTGGAATGAGAAAATGAGATCTGTTTACTTTTTGTTGTCTGATCCTGCTGACATTAATTATCAAAATATACTCATTGTGAAGATATACTTTTGCCATTACTGGAAGCAAACATAATTTTCTACATAAGGTCAAGAGGTTTCCCTTTTAATGGGAGAAGGATTTTCTTTAATGCATTTGTACTCAATCATCGCTTTAAAACTTTACAGAAATGATAAAACCAGCAACCAAAACCCACGCAAACTGCTAGGAAATGATTCTTCTGTGCATTGACTCAAATTATTTATTCAATTGACAGCTCAGTCTGCTTCTGAATGGATACCTTTTAAATTGAATGGAATGTTTGGAGCCTCGAGTGTTCATATATTCTTAGCTTTCTGTCCCAAAAGCAATAGATGAATGTTTTAGAAGATCATAATCTAACAGAGCTTCCATATGTCTTCTGAAATCATTTTCACAGCTGTCTGATGCTTTCCTCTCAGTTATCTTCGTAGTATTTTAATTTTAGTACTACTTTTCCTGACAGCTTCTCGAAGTATGTTTGTCTTATCTCTTGATAAATGTCATGCTAAAGGCAGAATGGTAGGACAAGCCCTACTTTCAAAATGAGCAGCAATTTAATTTTATTAGCGCCCACTCTGTAGTTCGATTATGCAAACAAAATCTTAGTAAGGTTGCTGTCAAGATGACCTGTGTTTGCCTTTGTGCCAAAGCTGATGGTGGAGATGTATGCTTGAGTGGCTGGGAATGTTTTTCAGCCATGAGAACGTTTGAGTACTATGAAGTGACTGAGTTCACCAGCTAAGCTGACAGCAGTCTTCCATCCAGCTCTAATGGTCTGCTTTGAGACTTTTGCTTCTAGGCTGAGGCAAGAATCAGATCTTAGAGTTCAAAAAATACGTCACCAACCAATAATTCCTAATTGCAAGTTAAAGACCCAACATAAAGCACGTGGATGTTACTAACTTTCTGAGGGAGGGGGGTTAATTTTACATTTGTTTCCATGGAAACAAAGAAGGGGCAAGACCCCAATCGCTGCATCTATTTGTAAAATGCATTCGCACAATCATCAGATATTCAGTCTCCCTGAACCCTTTTGTCCCTCCCACTGCAGTTACAAATCTGAGACTTGGAGGTTCTCGGTGCCATTGTGTCAGTGCTTCTCATAGGCACTGACAGAATAATGAATGTATTGGAAATGAAAGAGAGAGTTACAGCATTCAGATCAGAGCTAATCTAAATTGATGGCCACTGTTATTCTTCTGCATTACATTAACTTGCAAAATAAGTATTTTGAAATGTCTGCTGGCAAGTAATTGGGTGGTGGGCAGTATACAGATTCATATTTGAATATTTTTCCTATTTTTGATTTGAGTCAAATTTTCAATTACTTATTAGTGAAAGGTTCTGTGAGGAACAGTAAGTTACTTATGGCAAGTACAACTTATTAGTCACAGAATTTAAAATACATATCTGCTTTGATACTTGTGGAGATAAACACTATGCATTCAGGAATTACTACAAGATGTTACAACTTGAGTTGTTGCAATGTGTTTTGGTTTTGTATGCATTCCTCTTTGCCTATGAAGCTATCATTACTCCCGATCCTTTGTTTGCTTTCATAAGCACTGTTGTAGTGTGACAACGTCTTTGGAAGAACTGATGATTTGATTAGAGTACCTAAATTTACCAAATGTCTACCTGACTAGTTTGAGAATTCAGAGACCACAGAGAATGTTTTGTTGATTTAGACACTATCTTGCTTTACTGAAGTTGATGGGGGGGGAAAAAAAATCCCATTGGTTGCAATAGGCTTACAGTTATGCACAAGTTATGTGCATTTTGTAATGATATCACTTGGAAAAAGCAAATCTTTTCTGAACCGATTGTGTAAATAAGCTATTCCTCTTTGATCTGAATCTGCTTTCAAGATTTCTCTTCTCCAAACCATGTAAGTGAAATAGCAGCAACATTTTCTTGTATTTCATTAAGCATTAATAAATGAGTCAGCTCCAATAATTTGGCAAGAGTAATCACAAACAGCTCCAATATGCTTTTCTAATCATTGATACCAGCCTCGCTCGCAAGTGGAGAGATGGTCATTGCATTAAAGGAGGAGATGCTTCTCATAAACATAATTAAAAGTAGCGATGTGGTATCTGCTCTGAATTTCAATTCCAGACAAAGGTCATCCTGAATTTAACAAATGCAGAACATGCACAGGCAGTATCAGGCGTGGTGGTTTTGGTTTTGCTGTTATTTTTGTCTGGCTTTAAATGCATTAAAAAAAAAATAAATCCTGACAAGGAACAAAGGGTTACTTTTAGATTGTGAGCTAAGGGGAAAGAAAATTATGGTGAACTTTGTTGATAAAGGAGCAAGGGTGAACATTGCAGGAAGCTACAGTGCGAGAGAGATAACTGGATGACCTGGGCAACAAAGCAAGCATGTTATTCTTACATTTAAAACAGATCTAATGAAACAGGTTAAGTAACAATTCTCAAAACAAATTTTTGGTGTCTGTAAAGTATGTTCTGTTATTTGCTGCTTATGTAAGTCCTGCTTACATTAGTTACAACGTACAAACTTGTCCAAACTGGATCTCTTTGGCATAGAATAGTAACAATTGGTTGACTGTTAAGTTTTTGTTTTTCTTTTTAATGATTTACCAAAAATTATTTGCATTAATTGAGGTTTGCATTTACACATAAAAATTCAAGAATGTCAATAGCAAATACTAATTATGATTATATCCATTTTAGACTCTCAGCCAATCAAATGCAATCCAGAAGTGTATTTTAACTTCAGGAAGTTGATTTTTTTTTCCTTGAAGAGTATTTTAAGGAGTTGTTCTTGTCATGTGTTCCTCCTCCCCCACTCCCCAACACTTCCAAGGGACACTAATGCACAAAAACGTGGAACTTTTGATTGAACAAATTGAATTGAACAAATACTTCCTCCTTTTATTCATTACTCAAAACTGTGGTAATGCTTCTGTGTTTGGGTTTTTGTATTGGCAGCCTTTCTCCACTCTTCTAGTCTGATTTGATTAGAAGGTACTTTCATTTTACAATGTATGAACCAGCCTACCCTCCATGAATCTGTGACATGTCTTTGTTACTGGTGAGTGTTGTATCAATCAGGAAGTCGCTTTCTAAACCCAAGTGAGCTACTGTATGGAAATCTGGTAATTAAAACCACATAAGTTCACTATGTAGTCATGGTTTATGTACTTGTCTAATGCTATGAGAAGCAAAATACATGGCAGTGAAATGGCAGGTTTACCGGTAGTTACAGAGAGGCAATGCAGTGTTTTTTATTCTAATTATTTTTTCTTAATTTATTTTTGAGATTTGTTTCTCTGCCAGCCCTTGAGCACTGCAGTAAAGTGAAACTGAAGGAACAACAAACTCTTGGACTGCAAAGAGGGACAAAATAAGATTAAACCTTAAATTAGAAGAGCTCACAGTATCTTTTTAAGAGAGAACCCTTTAACTGTAGTCGTTGGAGTTCTTTCTGCAGCAGAAGTGGGATACAATCTGCTCCAGCACACCAGAAATTCCTGACAATAAGGGGTGCTACTGTTTTTGTTAGCCAGGGGTTGCAAGGGAGGCTGAATGTGTGGAGGACTGTGGCTGTTCTGCCTTGTCATGAAGTGGGGCAGCTGCAGAATGTCCAAGGACTGCCTGCCTCTGGGTGGCTGTGTGCAGTGATATGACATGTGTCACACTGCCACCGGTGATTTTTCTCATGGATGTATTTGTTTCAAGTATTAAGTGCCTTTT